CCCCAAAACCCCAAAACCCCAAAACCCCATTTGCCTGAAATAAACGAGGCATATTAAGGAATTAAATTGAAATGTAAGTCTTATTTGAAATTTTATGGTTTCATAAATCAATCTACTTGACTTGCTGTCATTTCCTTCACTTAATATGTTTAAATAATCCAGTTTTATAATAGACTGCCTCCCAGTCTGTAGTAACATCTCTTTTCTTGCCAAAGTTGTCAACAGTACCATCCTTTAACTTCATTCCAGCCCATAATGAAATTTAATGATCCTCTACTCTGAGAGGTCTCTTAACTTCTGATGGGAATATTCCATCCAGTGTTGAGACATTATTTTTAGGTTTTGATTCTTTTCTTGGAGACTAGTAACTATTACCTGCTGAACCCCTTGATTGATCCAAATTGCTTGAATTATTGTGCTCATTAGTGTTGTTAGTCTTGATAGCTTGACGAGCAACCTAGATATAAGGGAGAGGTGGATTGGAGTATTCCATATTAAACTTAAGCTATTTAACGACCTCAGGAGAAGCTGTGTTGTTCATATTTTGGCTCATTGCAGCTCGATTTTGAAATTAATCTTTGTAGCTGGTGTTAAAATAATTTTGCTGAGTTCGATTCTACATGCTATTATTAATAGATGACATAGTTATGTTATTTGAATCTCCTGATCTACTTTGATGAAAGCCCAACGCATTATTCTTGTTGGGGTGATTAAGATGACTCTGCTTTGTACCAGAATATTAGTATTTCCAACCGATGTTAGAATAGCGGCAAGGTGTCCATTCTAATTAGGTGCTTTGCAATGACTTTTCACCAGTCATAGGATCCTTATAATGAATGAGTTTGTCTAGCTTGTCCCTAAGCGAATTATGATTGTTGATGATTTCCTTATTGAGTCCTCTATTAATATTAATTGCATTGAAAATTTCTAGCATTCTTCTAGTTTAGGTTACATCTAACGCCGCCTGATTCTGTTAGTTCTTGAGCACTACTTATTCTTCATTACTAGGGTGTTTGTTTGCTAATAAGTCTTCATACCTTGATTTGTACTTGATATTCTTAATAAGAGTGCTAAACTCTTTTTTTGTTTCAGTTAGATATTGATCATCCACAGGAATGCAACCCTCCAAATTTATTGGCCTTAAGGCATCCATCATTTGCTAATGTGAGTATTAGGGGTGTCTCCCATTAATTGAGAAACCGTCCATTGTTTTATTCAGAGGAGATGTGACTTTTCCTGGTGATCCTACTTTAGATAGATTTGTGCTTTGGTGTCTTCTATGATACATTTCAGGTTTGAAGTCTACCTTTTAAAAAGTCTTATTCTATTATTATCTTTAGTCAAAGCTGTCTAATAGCCTTTCAATCTCTTTTTTATTTACCTCGCTCATAATTAAAAACTAAAGATTTTATTCTTTTTAATAATTCAACATCAACTCTTTATTTAGACTTTTTTACTTAGCGATTAATATCAATATACTAGGCTAAGGGGTTTTGGGGTTTTGGGGTTTTGGGG